TTAACCGGATAAACAAAATAATCCAGATTAAAGCAATAATTGATTAATTGGTCGGTTATTCTATTCATTGCCCACCCGTACTGTTCAGTAGAAGGCACTAAGGTCCAGTAAAATATTTTCTCGTGGAAACGGTTGTAAGTGGAAGTGTACCCGTGGAAAGGGTTTCTTAAAATCTCCCTCTGTATGTTCTGTTGTGTGTCGCTTAGTTAAGAATCCTTTCTGTCCATTTGAATTTAGCTGTTCCCCCAGTCTTCGGTACACTCTTCATAAGAATTTTTTTGTTATATATTAAAACTTTATGGCAATGTCAAAATTATTGCAAGTTGAAGCAAGCCAAAATCACAGAATGAAGTGACAGTTTGCTTTTTTGTTTAGAGAGAACTGATGTTTATCAATGTTTTATTTGAAGATGCTCCTATGAAAAAACGACTCGCCAACTTCTGCTCAAGGCCATGTGGCTTGCGGCTTTAAAACCTGTCATAGTCAAGCGTTATTTAAATTTTTATCTTCATCATGTGCATTTTCTTGAACCACGACATTATTTAGAGCACCAGTTTTACAAAGAAACTTCATTTGCCAGAGACTCATACTCTTATTAATTGTACAATGACAGTGCAGCCACCAACTGCCATATCTGCTGAAATAGCAGTCTGTGGTGTAAAAAATCTAACAATGAACAGTGTGGAATAATGAAAAACAGTCCACAGCTGTTTCTCCATGGTCCAGTGACTTGCTTCTGCAGGCATTTATGGTTTTCCAAAGCAGCGTAAATAGGAAGTTTTAGCAGGTCGTTTCCACGCGAACGATTTGCCCTCGAACGCATCCGCGACGCCACTGCGCATGCGCATGCGAGTCGTATGGGGAGTTGGGAGGCTCTTCTCGTTCTTTTCTCCCTTTCCGGCTGCTGGAGTCGTCACCACAACACAGCCAGCACCGTTCACGACTCGGGTAAAAAAAAGATGGCGGTCAGTTCGGCGACTGCCTTCGCCGACCCAGCCGAGCGTTAGGTTTAGGACAGCGGGAGGCGATTTGCAGTCCTGTTAGTCTGCTTCATTTGAGAGGTTCAACCAAATCATTTCGAGGACTGCTCACAATAGTAAGCGATCGTGAATGCTGTAAAATGCGCATGCTAGTAAATATTTGCGATCTGCGGGCAGACTAGCTGCCGTGGCGACTGCGAGCAGACGAAATGATTTTGTTCGACGGCACACAACGTGAACGATCGTTCCAGTTCAAGATTGCGGAGACATACCACATACCTTTGCGGTCGTTCAAACACTTTTACTCTAGCTTCGCAGTTCATGAAATTCCGACCGGCAAATGTTACGTCGGCCGTCTTGTTTACATCAGGCGTACGACGGAAACATGAACCGCCACCACGGTGTCCGCCTCCGTCGCCACTGATTTACACGTTGCAGAATGCTTCATATGTTTACTAGAAGATGGCACCACCGTTAAGCACGATCATCATCATTGTTTACTCGGTCGCGCCACTTTCACGATTCGGTAAAGTATGTCAAATTTCACGTACGGTTTCACGGAACGGACCAGCTGTACCGTTTGTGATTTCGGAACCGTATGCTTGAAAAACGACTCGCTAAAACTTTCTAATGTGATCGAAGCGAAACAGGAGATAGAGATGTGCTGTTTTAATGGTCCCTACACCTTGCCAGTGGTGATGCTCCTCCTTGCCTTTTCCTAGGCAACGAGCGAGAGGACTCATCACTAACGTAATCCATCTTGGGCTTCTGGTATAACGAAAGCCACTGGGAGGGGCTCGAGGGCAGTATCCCTCAAGGGGAAGTTCACTTCTTGACTGCTGCTACTTGGGGACTCCACGATAGACGGACGATGCTTTTCAGCAGCCCTAGGCTATCCTGGAGTTTGGGGTGGGCATGACCCTCTGTGTTATAGACGTTTCCGAGTTGTGTCACTTTCCTACATCGGACAGCCGCCTCCTGTGCATAAGTGAACTGGTGCTCATCTTTTCTGTAAGGTTGCTATTCATGTCACTGAAGAAAGCTTTACCCTCCTGGTGTGGCATGTCATTTATTTGGCAGCTAGAAAAGCTGTTGCTTGAAGTCAATGTTTAGGTTCTTCGTTTTTGGAGGACCAGATTTTCTAATGCACTCGACTCTCAATAACTCAAACTCCAGGAAGCCAGAGACTAATTTGAAATATCAGAAGTTTGAATTATCAAAAATTTATGGAAATATGATATGAGGCAGAATATGAAATTGCTATAGAAATGACTACATATACAAAGCAGTTCTTTTTGCACTATCCTCTGCACAGGCCTTTTTAAAAAAGGGCACACATATAACATTGGTGAAGTTTAAAGCAAATAGTAATATTGGCCGAATATTTTCTAATTGAATATAAAATAGTTTCTCAAAGCCTTTTACTACCGTTGTACCCTGCTTAAACAAAAATTCAGCTGACCTTTTGAAGGTTGTTCCCAACCTTCCACTTGTCCACTTCTAAGCTCAGTTAGTTTTAATATAACTATATCTATGAGCTGTGGCCTCTGAAAGTCCAATGCCTACATTGGGGTGGCACGTAAATGACAGATTTTAGGTAAAATTAAACCTAAAGAAACGCCCAGCTATCCTAATCGAAGGAATTTATAAATCTGCTTGCTATATGCAAATATTCTTTCTTTCATCTGGAGTTTAATCTCCCTTAGAAAAATGAAAGCAGCATAAATAATGAAAGCAGATTGTCAGGACAGTGCTGCTTGCATAATCGGGATGGGTTAGTCCCATCGAGTATGCTTCTCACCTAGCAGCCGTGTACTGCGGCAAAGCAATGACCGCGAGCTTCGCGTGTATTGCTTTCCCCCAGTACACAGCTGCTCGACGAAAAGCGCACTCAACGGAGCTAACCCTCCGCACTGGATAAATAGAGTGAATGGAGCGAAAACACATTAAACAGCTTATCAATGCATTAAAAACACAGCGGAACAACTAGGCTTTTAAATTTGTTTGACTTAACTGACAGTATGAAATATCAGAGTTTGAATTATTGCGAGTGTACTGTACTTCTTTTTATTCAGAAAAAAAACATTATTTAATGGCAGGTGTCAATGCAAATAATAGTGGTTGTATACTTCAAATACTTTTTTTCAGGTGCCATTGTTTTACAGTTTTAGAGGATTTTAAACAATCACCTGAAGTTGGTAATACAGCACTCTATTTCTGCTGTAACTCGCCTCTGGCAAGCACATTCCAGTGTTACAAGCAGATTATACTTTTTCATGCAGCCATATGAGTGGCAATTCTTCTGTTTCCTGCTTTTCTAGTTTGTTAGAAACATTGTTCCGAAATGGTGACATGAAAGGAAGCTATTAATCAAAATTAAAATTTGTTTGTCTTCATCCTATAAGTGAATTGCTCTCATAACATTTTGCAGGTATTGCACTGAGGCTTGGGCCAGGCGGAACTGGAGGTAGCCAAGTCATCAAAGAAGATAGGACTTCGGCTCATTCAGAAACCATGTGAACTACGGCGCAACAGGCCCAGGGCACCGGTACAGCTGGCTGAATAAACAGCTAAGCCTTTCAAACATTGAAGTGTGTGCTATCCCAAGGAGAGTACTTCGAAGGGGATTACAGTTTTAGACCTCAAGGCAAATAAATGTATTTTTACTTGCCAAAGGTTGGATACTTCTTGAACAGCCCTGATTCAAAAATACGAAAGAGTTATACAAGGAGGACGGACAGGACAAACATCTTTCGAATTTCAACACATTGGTGTCTTCTTTTGCTGGTATATATTGACTAACCTGGGGACATGCACTTTTAATCTGACAGTGAATCGAACTGATGACCCTTTCTTACAGTGTCCATTGAATTTATGATCAGTTAACCGACAGCCTGGCCACCAACACCTTTAAAATTTTTTTTACTAGGCAATATATATATATCCTTCGGAGGCTATATTCTTGTGAAATCGGTAAACTGTTTCCCCGTTGTTTGTCTGCCTAGTAGATAACATACACTGTAAATGACACCAATGTTTCGTACGGGTTGACAAGGAACATTGTGCATCATTTGTGCCAGACTTCGGAGGTGGTTGTTGCAAAGCTATGGCAACTGCTGTTTAGCCTAGAGTTTGATTATCATAAGCTTTTGCAACTAGGCAGGTTTTGCAGATTTCTTTTTATTTTTCCTCAGCGAAGGAGCAGGTGCTTTAACATGAAAGTTCGTTAAGGATGGGTGCGTCATATGATGTTAAGATCACAAAGACCTCAATCTGGATGCCTCCTAGTTGATCGACCCCAGTGACTTGAGTGCATTACAGTGAATGATGCGTAGAGCTTGAATATTGTTGCCTGCAACATGGTGAACCTACAAACACAAACATCTGTCATCGCATGTTATTTTGCCTTTAGATTGGGGAGAAAACTGCCGTCTGCTATACCTTTAGTGGCAATGAAGATGCCGCAGCTAGCATTATTTGCCCCGTGGCCGAGGTGGAAATGACCTTCGGCTATACCTTTGTGGCCAGGCAAATGTCACATTGTTTTTTGCCCAATGGCCGAGGTGAAAACAAGACCTCGGTTATACATCTTTGGCCAGGCTAATGCGGCGTCGGTATTTGCTCCAGGGCCAGGTTGAAAACAGCCCTCGAATATACCTTTGCGGCCTAGCAGATGCCGGCCCTAGTTCTTTGCTCAGTGGCCGAATTTAAAACAAGGCCTCGGTGGCCTAGCAAATGCCGGCCCTCGGTCTTTGCTTAATAGCCGAGATGAAATCAAGGCCTCGGTGGCCTACCAAATGCCGGCCCTTGTTTTTTGCCCAATGGCTGAGGTGAAAACAAGACCTCGGTTATACATCTGTGGCCAGGCTAATGCCGCGTCGGTATTTGCTCCATGGCCAGGCTGAAAACAGCCCTCGGATATATATACCTTTGTGGCCTAGCATATGCCGTCCCTAGTTCTTTGCTCAATGGCCGAGGTGAAAACAAGGCCTCGGTGGCCTAGCAAATGCCGGCCCTCGGTCTTTGCTTAATGGTCGAGATGAAATCAATGCCTCGGTGGCCTAGCAAATGCCGGCCCTTGTTTTTTGCCCAATGGCCGAGGTAAAAACAAGACCTCGGTTATACATCTGTGGCCAGGTTAATGCCGCGTCGGTATTTGCTCCATGGCCAGGCTGAAAACAGCCCTCGAATTTACCTTTGTGGCCTAGCAGATGCCGGCCCTAGTTCTTTGCTCAATTGTCGAGGTGAAAACAAGGCCTCGGTGGCCTAGCAAATGCCGACCCTCGGTCTTTGCTTAAAGGACCCATGAAACCATTTTCGGACTTCCGGCCAAATAAGATGGCGTTTGGGGATGCCCCTCAGCTCATACAATGTTTCCCGGGTCACGTTCGCATGACGCGCCGCGGGGTACGTGACTTCCGGTCTTGTCCTCTTTTTAGCGCTGTGGACGTTGCTACAACGAGAGCAGTCTCTCCCCTCTCTCCCGTATCCCTCGCTCATGTGCCTTGCTCTTTCACCGCGGCTCCCACAGTGCTGATTCCCGTGGCCCGTGGCTGTGCCACTGCCGCTGTTTCCCTCAACATGGCGACCTGGAGAGACGGTCTCAGTGAAATAGAGCGCGAGATGTTCGCGTATAGCGAGTCTGTTGGATTGTCGCCGTACTCGCATACGCCTGAAAAGCGCGAGAGAAAAGTTCGGTCGCCGAATGAGGAAGACATGTCGGCACAGCCCGATCCCAGTCCGGACCCAGATGCATGGTGTCTGGTCACCACGGCATGGTAAGCACCGCGTCCGGTTTCTCAACATACACTTTTTATCTGTAGTTGAGCAGTTTCCATGTGACGTCTCTTCGTTTTCAATCATAGGTGCTCTTGTAAGAGGTGCGAGGTGATGCCAACATCGAGGGAATGCGTTTGCTGCCGAGAATGCCCGCCTGCTGTAACTGCTCAACCGGAGGGATGCGTGACAGAGCACGCAGACTTTTCGCTCATTTGCCTTCAGCCTGCCGTGCTCCGAGTAGCCTTCTGGGCACTACAAGAGGCTGGTCACAACCCGGCGCAAGGGGAACAGAGGTGCTCCGTTCGTCTCCAACATTTCGACATACTTCTACATACTTAGAAAGCGCGACATCGCAGGCACGCGCACTTCATCACTCTTCGTTCACGCCCGAAAATAACAGAAGCCCTTGAACAGATTTACGGTGGGTTTTTGCGACATCAAGTGCGAGTGCAACGCTGCCAATTGCCTGGCGATGTGCATCGAATTTTCCTTTTACTCCCGTTATATTTCGTCGCAACCGAGATGGAACTAGTGCACCCCAAGGGTCGTTCACAATGCATCGATGGGGTCAGGGACAGGGACTCGATCTATCGCGATCACCATCCAGTTTTTGTGCTAGATATTATTTTACATATTCTCTGTTGTAAATCTTTATAGGGGCAGAAATTTTTTTACCCATGTGGATACCACCTGAACATATCACTAGATCTGGAAGGCCCCTTGTGACCCAAATATAGATCCACACAAAAAGCAATTGCTTGACACGCCATTTATTGATTCATTTTTTATTACAAGTGCTCACCAATGGCTCGAAGCCTTTGCAATAAGGCACACAAACAAGATAACTCCATGAGCTTGGTGCCATACCTGGGGCTCATCTCAGCCCATTGTCCCAAAGTATTAGCAATAACGGTAACTAATTCACGTTCTGCAATACTGTAGACATGTCGGGATATGAGCTTTCTCTAAAAGAGTCGAATCCGGAACCCTAAGCGAAGCTAATGTTTGATGAAATTCAGACTGTATTCGTCAGTACATTGATCTCAAATTCTATTGAACTGAAATAGGTCATAGTACGCAATAAATACTACAGACAGGGGCGGATTTAGAGGGGGGTCCGGATGTCCTGACCCCCCTCTTGAATTCTGCATGCGTAAAATTTAGGGCGTAAAACGAAGGGGAGGGAATTTCTAAACATATGGTACGCTGACCAACACCTGACCCCCACCTCAGGAAATTCCTGCATCCGCCCCCGACTACAGAAATGCCCATTGTTCATGGCTCAAAGGAACGCTATGTAAACATTCCAATTTATCTGTTACCAACAGCACTCGCCTCACCTCAATTATGAACAGCTGGCAAAGAATAGTTTTGAATTGTGCACACATTTGTTGTAACAGATTGGGTGTTTGCAGACCAACTGGTATGGGCCTTCGGCCTTTCTGCTGTACTCCCGACTCTCCTGAGCCAAATAAATGAAATGAAATGAAATGAAATGAAACAACTCAGAAAACATGTTGCACAGAGATTGATTTCACAATTGATTTTACAACCGGCTATATGTAACCTTGAATAATTTGTAAAAGGATTTTCAAGTGATACACTGTACAAGCATTAGAAGTTCCACACATCAAAATTAGAATGGCAGTAGAACAATTTTATTTTCCTGTAGACTCCATTCCACAACGACATAAGAACCAGAGCAAATTATTTAGAACAGCACTTCACTACAATGTTGATGATACCACCTGAACCTGTAGATAAATTACAATACAGTGTCCTGATAACTAGTCAGCTCATCAACAATAACGCAAGTAAAGCCCACCACAGGTGATGTTACATGTCACACCAAAGAAGTGTTTACATTGGGAAAGCATGAAACATAGGTACATCTTATCAGAAGCACTTGTGTCTTCTACAGCATACTCGGTATGATAATGTGCTTCTGTAGATGTTACTTAGTTCACAATTATCCACTGCTCTTTGACCATCATACCTCTGTGTTCTATCGTATCGGTTATTAAAATTCATCTAACTACATGTTTCTTTTTCTTCATACATGAAAAGGTTTTAGAAGAAATCCTGAAGGTGGAGTACAGATGCCTCCATGCCGCCTTTGTAATATTGTACCTATGCACTCCAGTTGTATAGTTTAACCTTGCAGTCTGTAATTTTACTTTATACGCAACTTTATCACACTGACAAGTTACTATCTATGTTATCATTTTCACAGGTTACGCTTCGTGGCCTACAGGCAGCTTGTACGGTGGATGTGGCGGAGACTGGGGCGCCACAGCAGACGAGTCCTGCCTGCCTGTGTCGTCAGGACAATCCGTGAGGAATTCCCCTCGGAAGCTTACACCGGGTTTTTGGACACGGAATAAAAAAATGTGAACTCAACCTCAGACGAATGTTCTTTATACTATATATCTCAAATGCATATTTAACCAATGAAAGTGCGGAACTTCTGCAACCCAAATCGTTCTATATCCCTGGAGCACTTTCTGCTCGACAAAATGTCTGCAAAATCGTTGGCTAAGCCGAGTCTGTTCCATACAATGATTTGGTGGTCGGCATACCTTGCGGATGCAAATTTTTATAAGTGTAAACATTTCAAACTAGGTTTTATTTTTTTAAGTTACCACTTTGTTGCATTTAGATCACAGTCCTGAATGGGGAGTTTCTGCCACGCAGCTTTTATGGTGGCCATGCATCCAATCCCAAGACAAAAATAAAAAAAAACTGATGATTGGATATTACTGCTACTTCACATTGTGTACATTTACAGGCAAAATCATCTAATGTAGGTGCAGTTTTTTTCGTTGCCTTTTCCTTGTTTCTTTTTGATAAAGATTTCCACAAGCAGCCCCCACATGCAAGTTGTAAATTCTACGGTACATGCTCACCCTCCATTTCTGAGGGTGAGCATGAACCGTAGATTTTACAACTTGCATGTGGGGGCTGCTTGTGGGAATCTTCATCATGCCTGCCTCTTGAACATCCCTTGCCCTATTGTGATTTTTGCTGCCTTTCCACATCATAGAAGAGCAGTACTGCATGAGGTATGCCAGCCAACCTTCCTAATGTTGCGAGAGTGTGCCTCTTTGACATTTCAAAGACAAAGCAAGGGGTTGTGAAGGGGCAAAAGGCTTCGATATGACGGCCACCTAAGGCAGAGGTGCGTAAAGTGGGGGTCACGAAGCCTCCGAGATCCGACGAGGTGTAGAAGGCGGTCTTAATATTTTCGAGTAAAGCCAAGATTATTTGTTGCTACATCTTACACAATACGACAACAGACACACAAACAAAAAACTGCCCTTCAAAAGCTTGATAGCCAACTTGATAATCAAGTCGGAGTTAGTTTAACTAGCAACTGTGATGTGCAAGTCTTCTTGATTCCAGTGCACGGCACAATTTTAAAATCTTAATTAAAATTTAAAGCGAGTTTTCTCCTTTCAGTGTTTTTTGGGCCCTTGAACCCTATAAAACCATGATCTTCTGTCGACTAAAATGCAGCTGTGTCTGACACAGTGTTTGTATCGTCCCTCATCTTTTCCCCATCTTGAGGTTTTGTCGAAAATTGACAGTTCGTTCGGAGAGATCCAGAGGCTGTGGCCCTCCTGGCCATCGCAGTATGAAGGCTAAGCCTTCGCATCCTGTCTTTCCTCGGCACCTGAAGATATTCAGATACGGCCGTTATTGTAGTGCATGGGCTCGGAGGACCGATGCTTGCTGCAGCCCTTTCCCTGTCCGTTAAGGCGTCCTACAACGTCGTGGTACAGTGTTTCACCGAGCACTTCGTCTACTCCGTGAACAAAGTATATGAATCGTTGCGATTCCATTGGCGGGTCTAACAACCTGAGGAAAGCGTCGACACGTTCCACGTAAAGCTGATGCCCCTGGTCAAGCAGTGTAACTATGGCTCCCTAGAGGTCGAGGAACGCCTCGTAAGGGATCGTTTGGTCGTCGGAACCCAGGACTCTCAGCTTTCAGACAATCTTGGACGAAACCCGAACCTCATGCTCAAGGACACATGGGTGCAAGCGTGCCAAGCCGAATACACAGACAAAGAAATGGCAACCACGGCAGGCAAGGGTACATCAGCAACTCCAGAAAGTCAAGGTGTCAACCTCGACACGACCAAGCTCTTGAGGTCGTCAGAAGCAACGCGGGACTCAGTCTAACGCTAATAACACTGGTCACGACCAGTGTTAATGGCCAGCCTGGTTCTTGTTTATTCTGCGGATGCTCATCTCATCCTCATGCAAACAGTCCCGCGCGTAAGTCAAGTGCAACTTTTACCGTAAGAAAAGGCACTTCGCAGAGGTCTGTCGCTCCCCGCATGAAAAAGCAAGCTAAAGTAGACACTCTGCAGCTTTCTGCAGTTGATGTCGGAGAAAGGCCTAAGTTTGTTGAAGTCCCCGTCAACAACTATACTGCGTCTTTCAAAGTGGACTCAGGAGTTGATGTGACAGCTGCTCCAGATAGTTTCCGCTGAATGCCCCAGAGTTTGACAACGGCTGAAAACGCCATTTATGGACCGGGAAACCACCCGCTTAGAGTGCGGGGTGCTTTCTCACTGACACTGTGGTGAAACGGCAAGATTTCCAAGCAGCAGGTTTATGTTGTCCAGTCTCTCAGAACTCCTTTGCTGGGCTTCCCTGCCATACAGAACCTTCAGGTCAAGTTCCTTGACACTGCAGCTAAGCCTGCAGTCAAGCCAGGCTTCACTGAGCTCTTCGCAGGTCTGGGTATGCTACCTGACGAGTACACAACCTAGCTTGAATCCAAATCTAGTTCATTCTTACTGAGTGTGTCTAGTCGTACACCAATTCCCCAACGAGAGGTTGTGTGGACGTGGCAGGGAGTCATTCGTCGGGTTGAAGGCCAGACCCCATAGTATGCAGGAACAGTTGTACCGAATGAAGGCTTCTGGAAGTCACCACCCCTGCACTGTCCTTACGAAGCTCAACGAGGTCGTCCTCGGAGAAAGGCACATGCTCCCTAGAGTGAACCAAGTTCTCGGACTTTTGAGTGAAGAGAGGGTGTTTGCCAAGTTGGACGCTATTTTTGGATTTCAGAAGGTATAACTTGTCAAGGAAAGTCAGGAGTACACCGCTTTCATCGCTTCCATTGGTCGCTTCTGCTTCTGCTGTTTGCCTTTTGGATTTACGTTGGCACCAGAGTACTTCCAGAAGCAAATGGCATGCATTCTGAGAGGACAAGACAGGTGCATCAACATGATTGATGACATACTTGTCTTTGGACGGACGCAAGAGGAGCACGACACACAACTCGGTCAAGTGCTCTCCCGACTGTCAAAGGCCGGCATCACCCTC